GTGTTTATGTGTATGTGTATGTGTGTATGTGTATGTGTGTATGTGTACACTAATACTAAAAAACGGCCCTAAAACCAGCAAGTTCATACTACTCATCTTTTTGATAAAGTGAAAATATTTTTACTAACGAACGAAATTATAGATTCTTGACCACAAAAATGCATTAGTTTTAGAAATATAAGTAGTAAATAATATCGTAAATAATTTACGCATTCAATTGCTATACAAAGTCTATATAAGACATCATATATGTTGAACTGTTTAATTTTTGTCCTCAAAGATGGCGTTACATGCATGTGTGTGCGACAATTTGATGAGAGCAACTTTACTTCAAATCATTTAGACAAAACAAAATAGTATTTGTATTGCTGGTTGACTCAACACGACAAAATAACAATATTTCCATTTATTTTATATTATTTCGACCCAGAATAGAACATTCCCAGATTTATTTTTTGTGTTGTCCAATACATCCAATCGTTTTTAACAATGGAAGCAAATAAAATTTATGTAGTTTTAACAATTTTCTGTTCTTTGTGCATCGCAAATGGTAAGTCATTAGCAGGTGGATGCTAATGGGAGTGGCAATTAATATACAACGCTATCAAAATTCAAAATAAGAGAATTAATCGAATATTTTCGCATTTTTTTCCCATTCATTTAGTACTTTCGATCAGATGTTATCAGTGTTCGACGCAGACAGATGTTAAGGGTGTCGACAGTTGTGGAGCGTACAAAAGATTCAATTCATCGGAGCATATTGCCATTGAGTGCAACAGTGACGAATCACACATGCCTGGATCATTCTGTATGAAAGTCGTCCAGCAAGGGCCACGAGGCTTCATCTGTAAGTTTCAATTCAATTGAACTTGTTTTTACTATGATGCATAGCAAATTGTGAGTAAAATTCTTGTTTGCAGGGGATGGTCGTTGGCGGCATGTAATCCGTAGATGCGCATCCGTTGCTGACACTGGTGTGACTGGCGTATGCAATTGGGGAGTCTACGAAAATGGTGACTATTGGGAAGAATGCTATTGCTCACACGATGCTTGTAACGGATCTTATCAAAACCGAATCTCATCAATTGCCGTCTTCATCAGTACAATCGCCTCATTGTGCATAGCTGTAGTTACCATGCGATTCTAGAAACCCATTCGAACAACGATCGTTTAGTTTAAGTCAATGAATGCAATTTCATATTTGATTTCAGATGAATCCGTCCATAATAATTTTGTCTTTCTTTTTTTGAAAAGATCTTTTATACAAATGCATTTTAATAGCAAGAAAAAATTGTGCCTTTTACGACATTTAGTAACAATAAAATTACGAGTTTACTCGTAGATAAATAACAAATCGTTTCTTTTTCATCCATTTATTCGAAATAGTAAAAGAACTACAAAATGTTGTTAAAAAAATATTTGAGTTTCTAAAAAATTGAGATAAACACTCTGGGACGGAAATCGATGCTAAGTATTTCTTCTATTGATTGATATGTTCTTGTTTCATCTAAGAAACAACTTCTTCTTTGCAGACTTTACAAGAAAAAAAAAACGTTACGTGCTCAATAATTGCGGTAAGGATTTAAATAAAGCTATTGAAATGGCGGCGATAATTGTAAATATGCTTGAACTGGCGAGGCCCGCAGAATTGCATCCATCTTTGCTGTTGCACTGACAATATTCCATGAATATGTTGAATGTGCCCGTTCGCATCAAACAGAATCGTTCATCGCCCACAATACCAGGCTCTCCCATAAATGCACAGCTTCGGAAGTAACGCCATTCACCATTTACTGTTGAGATGGAGAGAGAAAAAAATTAGTTACAAAACGGAAAATCTCACTCACTTTTTAATTCGTTTCATTTTATTTGTATCTTAAAAAGAATAATGACCGTTTTTGAGCAGAAAATCTCATTTCTACAGATTAGTTTTTCTATAAAATTGTCATTTGAACGAAAAACGAGATCAAGACATACCTTTTTGTCGAATTTTACGGCACATAGTCGGCTTGACTCCGGGCAAATGATCCAACTCTGCCACCTGTTTGCAGTCAGTGATCGACAGCGTACTGTTGTCAAATGGATCGGCGCATTTTGGATCCGAATCTGATCGACACTCCCAGCATTTTATGCAAAGACCTGTTTAAATAACGAATTTTGTATGAATAAATGCGTTTTGATCTAAATAAAATTTGAGTTAATCGTCAAAATTCAAATAAATTATCAACACCCATTGGTTTGTTCGACGCGTATATAACCTCACTTGTTTGACATATCAAGATTTAAATTGAAAAATGGGCAGTGGCTGCCGTGTAAATAATGCACTTTTTCAAACACTTTTCAACCGATCACAAGCGTTTATATCGTTCGAAATTCACCAAAAACTTACCTTTTTCGACACAAAATGCAATAAATATTATTCCAATCACCAAATGGAAATGATTCATTTTGGTTTTGTTTTTAATAATTTCGGTATTCAATTACTGTTTACTATAGCCAATGGTTCTGATTCGAGCAACTGTGTCGTTGTGTTTTGTTCGAATGGTTTGTGGTTGAAGCGTGTGTGTGCGTGTGTGTGCGTGTGTGTGCGTGTGTGTGCGTGTGTGTGCGTTTGTTTAGTACTCGTTTGCGATTCATACATGAACATTAGCTTTCAATGTGTGATCACGTAATGAATGACGCTGTTTCACCACACCCAAACATTCACATGCACGACATCGCTAGGCGACCGTATTCAATAGCGTAACAGACACATTGAATGACAATTAACGTGGAGAATATTATTCAAAGGGGAATCCAAATGGTTTAATAAATTGTTGGCTATAATGAATTCACCACGCTTGAGAGTGGAAATGATCAATGTTCCATTCAAATCAAAGAACAAATTTACAGCAATCAGTTATAATAGTCAGAGGCTCTGACTCAGAGCAAATATTTAATTTATTATGATTTGTCCAAAATCATTATCATTTCCATTCATTCGGACAAAGTCTAAGCCACAAAGCATCAAAACCATTTAAATATCTTTCTTTTCGGTGAGACATTCAAACTGTCGCTTTTCAAGTCGAAACCATTGTTCATGATCGTTCTTTTCCAATAGTATGAGTAATTACTGTCAACAAAACTGATTTGCATATTTTATGAGTTGTTCAGAGATGCATACATGCATTTCAAAATCGTTTATGAAGTTTATCAAGGCATTCGCATACCATTTTGAAATTCATTTCTTCTTCTTTTGTCTCCTAATGAGGGTTTTTCAACTGTTTGTAATTCCGTAATTATCAAAGTGCCGAATTTTTGCCGACTGAACTTGAAATTGTCGTTTTCGTTATCAATTAGCACTACGGCACAGAACACAATGTAAGGTATTCATTTTTTTTTCACAACCACAGATGAATCGGTTGCAACAACATGACTCAAATTACGTGTATTTGCTATAAATTGAACAAAAAAAAAACGATCAACATTCATTCTTTCATTTACGTTTATATTTAGCAAATGGTCGTTTTCAGGCAATTTTCTAGATGATTATTCACCTGGTTCTGCCATACAGATTTATTATTGATGACAAAAATGATTTATTCTCTGGATTGTTTTCGTGTTACCAACGTTTTCATTGTTATGATTCACGTTTTTGTTACAAGCAAACTATTTATCTACTGGAGAGTCTTGTATACGAGTTAAATGCTGTGGAATTTTGGCATTGCATTGTTCTTCGAAAATTGTATCAATTATCATCATCATTTCGTTTTCAATAGAAGAAAACACTGATTTTACGCCCCACTAAATTCTTTCTCTTGTCAAAACAAAACTTATCTCGAATGTGGAAAAATGATTTGATAAGCATTCCATGGGAATTCAGCTGAATTTGGTGAACATTGTTTACATTGAATTTTGGGCGAAAATCAATTAAAATCTGTTTAACTTAGAGATTAGATTTGAAAACTACAAATCAATAAATTTGTCCGATTAAGCATCTTACCCATAATCTGAAATGGAAATATACTCAAAACAAACGCAGAGTTAATCATTGATATTAATTGAATATGCAAAAACGTTAATAGTCTGCCATAAAATGTGTGGTGTTAATCATATTTAATGATCACAGGGAAGGATGTTTACCAGCTCCATAAAATGTATAAACAAAAAACTGTGTTTGATTTTAAAATAGATAGTAAAATGCTCTGAAACATATCAACTATTGACTTATATGGGATTGTGTCATAGTCAAGATGTATTCGTGGGCAATTTGCATCGATTACTAATCTTATCCGTAATTTATGTATGAAAACAAGAATTTAGTCAATTTGCACTGAAATGAATATCAATACTTAAAGCATAGAACATAGCGATTGATGGTGAAAACATGCGACAACGCCGGATGTTCATTATTCAAGTAAAAGTCGATATTGCAATTATCTCATGAATAATAAATGCTTGTAATTTTGCACCGCCCGTTCGTTTGCCGTTGACCGATAAATACTGATTGACTAAATGTAATTGTACATTTATTTAAGGCTTTTTGTGTGTATTTTTGATATTTTTCCCTTTTGTTTTCTTTATTGAGGAAGAAATGAACTTAGCTTAGTTGAAAAGACACTTTCTCACAAACCTTGCCGATCTGTTGGGTTTCATTGTTTGAATCTTGCGCAAAAAATGGGCAAGATATCGCTAATTGTATTTCCTTCGCAAGCCTTTTCCCAATATTACTTACTCGGTACAAATTGTTGAACACTATTGACCATTGTTCGGAGTAACAAGCGAACAATTAACCAATTGAGCTTTCCTGTATGTCTGCCAACAAGATACGAGTCGTACCCACCGAAATGTATGTTGCTTGCCTTTAGTCAACGGCAATTGCGTATGTTAATGCTCATTTTGCTGAAGTTGTAGCGTAGGTATATTATGAATGAATTTAAATTGTGCTCTGGCATCGTCGTCTCTAATAAATTGCCAATTAACCCATGACTGATGATGAACCAAGATCGTTTTCAGATTTAATTATTTGGCGAAAAAAAAACTTACGTGTCCACCCATCGATGATAAAAAAAAACATTCTTGTCAATACCTGCTTTGTGGCTACTCGTTCAATTCTCAATATGAAAATATCAAATTATTAAATGAAACAAAGAAGTTTTTTTTGTGAGTTTTTGTTGTTTTATTTTTATTCTATTGTTTATATACATCAGCACAAACAGCTATGAAACATTGTTTTCACATTTAGAAAAATATGTCGGAACGAATTTTTTTTTATTGATTTTTGCTCAGATGATCTACAATATACACGTTTTTATGTACAGTAGGGATGGGTGGTAACAATCAATTTTCTTTTTGTTCTATGGTTTTTTTTTTTTGTTTCTTCACTTGTTTTTGAATTTAATAAATAGCACGTAATATGTGATGCTGAGATTCCAAAAAAGAATATCCGAAATAGAATGGTTCGTTATAGCGTACACGGTAAAATGCTCTAAAACACTAAATTTGTTTCATAAAAATGCTGTCGCTTGTGAAATTGCATAAAATTTTATGTACTTTCTGTTCATGGTTGTTATTATTGTGTAACGCAATTTGCAATTTTGTATCTGATAAGGCATTCTTCGGCTGAAAACACACTGAGGTGGTTGACACTTCAATTTGGTTCGATTTAAAATGCGAAAAAAGAATAGAATTAAGACAAAAGAACAGACGAAACGGTGTACAAGTTAGTTAAAAGCCAAGTTTTGGATTTGAAAAAACAAAAAACGTGAGAGAATGACGAATAAAAATGTAGCACAATAATTTAAGCGATTATGCATCTATCCACTTATAAATAACCTCTACAAATAGTAACATTTGCAAAAAAAAAGACAATTTTTTTTCTTGTTTATATTGGAAAGGCGTGACAAAGACTGTTTTTCCACTATTTTACGGAGACAATAATTGTTATTTGATTCACTTTAAATGTGACTTGAATGTGTGAAACATCGATTAAGAAAACACTTGAATTGGCGGGTTGACAGTTATTGTGTATTTCTTCTCACTTTTCGTGTAAATATAAATTGATCTAAATTTCCAGTTAAAGGGACAGAAATGTCACATAAGTACTGACATTTTGTAACTATTTTAAGTAAGTTCTATTTTGTTGTTTGTTATTTACTTTTATTGTTTTGACAGACGACTACTACAGAAAGCTTGAAATGTTTGCGCTGCTATGTTGAAATTTCGAAATCTTAATTAATGACTTAATTTTCGCGCATCAGAATTGTGTTTCTAAAAAAAACAGATCTTATATTTACTTAAGCTACTAAGAAAACAGAATATTTCATTAAATGTTTATTGGTAGAATTTTTTTTTGTTCCTTTTCTCTTTACACGTAGACAATCCAAAAATTAACTTCAAAACTGCGTTTTAATATTGTGCTATATAGTTTTATAGTGCTAGAGTGAATTTTATTCGGATTTTTTTTTCTTGGTTTTTTTCTTTTTCTCAAATAGATTTGATTATGATCTTTTACTATAGCGAAATTAGGGTAATTTTCTGCTGATTTTCGTAATAAATTAAAATTGTAATTGTTGTTCGTTTCAATTCATCTTCTTTTTATTTCTCTCTTTTAAATACCTAATTCATTGGGCAGGTAAATTTGGAAAATAAAAATAACATCCGGATTTTCAATACAAAAAGATTCAAACATGAAACTTAACAAAACGAAAAAAATGTTTTGATTTGTTGTTGTTGTTTTTTTTTTGCGACGGAAGAAAAATTAAGATAGTGAGAGATTTAGAGAGACTGAGCTTACAATAATAAGATCTTAGCAACAGCCACTGGAATAGCGACCAGCAGAGCAACTGGACCGTATTGGGCTGCTCCGTTGCATCCGTCAGTTGTGCAGGTTTCACAGAATTCTGTTTTGATGTATGATGGTGTGTTGCTGTTCAGACATTCGTCTTTTGGTGAGTTCGTATTCTCCCAGAAGCACGAACGCGAGATGACGTACTTGTCGTTCACTGAAAGCGCAAAACAATTACGATACTATTAGCTGAATGCACGCCAGAGGCAGCAAAAATAAAATAAAATTGACGGGAATGAAACGCGATTCGATTCTAACATTCCGATTTCATTCGATTACAACAATCTCTGTTGCATTTTTCATGAGCGGCTCAAAATCAATTGCATCGATGCATTTTCGCAGATAACAAAGAAATTGACTCGAAATATCATAAACCTAACGGCACAAACATTCCATTGAATGTAATAATATTCATGGGTTTAATTGCTTTTGATTAGATGAATGTCGTGATGAGCTCGAAAAAGTTCCGAACACAATTCGTTCACAATTGATGTTCACACTGTAAATTGTCCATGATAAATGATCAAATTGGCCACCGAGCAGGTATTCCAAAGTTCGAAATAATTTCGAAACATGTCCGAATTTTCGACTGTACACATTCCTCGATTCGCTCGTCTTTCGAAATGACTTAGTGGGCTAATAGCTTCAGAATTTGGAAGAAATTCAATTCAATGTGACTCATACATATCGATTGATAACTCAAACATTTTTTCGGTCGTTTCATTAAGATAATTACATGACGGAACGTTCTATGTATCAGCGACTGTTAATTTATATTAATTCAGTCAAAAACAATAATCTTTAAGCCGATTATATGACCGAAAACGTCGCTACACTATATACAAATAGACGACAAACCAGAGCACAACAGTTTTGTTAGTCGTGTGTCAAATAAGAATTCAAATAAATAAATAAAACTATTTGTTTTAATTGAAGACCGTCTTCGAGTTGTTCATCATGGTGATTTTGATTAGTTGAAATGTGCGTAGGAATGTTCGATGTGTACAAATGGGCTATTGATAGTTATGCTAGCGATTCACACTTGGAATGCCTGACATCACACAGCACGGGCTTAGTCGAAAATGACACGCGCAAGGGCGAAAAGTACGATTTTAAGCACTGGTTGTGGATCCAACCGTTCAACTCAGTGTTTAAAATAAGCCAAAATGATTAACTACGTCATTTTATTCGGTTTTATCTGTATCATGTATATTTATACACTTGCTAGTTTTGCAAAAACACATTCAAAGTCAAGACCTCTCTTGTTTATTCGGAAGAAGTAATAAGATCTCGCATTTGTTGTTTCTTTGTCCCTTTTTGCCCGTGCTAGCGAGCGATCATTTGCCACCGCTTTCGAGAATATCGTTTCAAATCACTGAAAAACGATAATGAGGCGAAAAAATTCCAATGAAAATTATGCCGATTGCCATCTCGTATTCATTTAACCGGAAAACAAAACATCATGCGATTTAAATTATGGAAATCTTGAAAAATTATAATAAAAAAACATTGAATTTTCGAATCGTGATATGACTTGGCTTGAGATCAGTGGTGATTTGAGCGAGATTCAGTTTTAGGCCGATGCAATGAATGCAAATTTATTTTGAATATAATGTCATGCAAAAGTATAGTCACATTTTCCGGTTGAAATGGTGAAACTTTCTCTTCGATGGTCGCTCCGTTCAGTTTGGTTCATCGACATGAAACCAAATCGAATATTACTTCAAGCGCCCATAGCCCTAATATTTGTATAATAAAAATCCGTAGTTGGCAACAACCAATAATTAAATGCTGAGAAAGGTACATTCGATTAATCACGGGAAGTGTACACAATGTACGATATTTTGAAATAAATGTTGAGTGTGACGAGAATGTGTGCGATGGTAATCACGATTCTTTTATTACCTAGCAATTTCATGTCACTTTGAAAAGGACAACGAACGAATAAATACATATTATATTTATATTCATATTTGAATGAATATTATCACTCTATTTGGACGTAGTTTCGAAGCAAAATCGGACACAAGTGTGAATGACATGGCCAAAACACATTGTATAAATGAAAGTAAAAGCATTCTTCGAATACTATCACGTCGAAATGCATAGTATGCGGAATGTGGCGTCCATTTGCGAATCACAAACGCGTGACATCCCATTCCCAATCAATTTAAATGAATTTGTGATATATTGATTGATAGAATTGTAACGAAAACTTACCAAGTTGTTTGACCTTTTTGCAAACGGCTCTTTGGTTTGCTCCTTGGCTGTATGGGTTCAATTGGCCGGGTGGGTATGTACATTCTACGTAGCTCCAACGTCTTTGTTGATCGCTAATGATACTTGCATCAAATGGATCATTACAGAAAGCTGCATTTGATGCGTCCGATGAACATCTCCAACATTTAATGGCGGATGCTAAAAAGAGTGATAAAAAAAACGCCGTTTCATGTTAGTCAATTTTGTTTACATTCCGTAAAATTTAATGCTTTCAACCTAATTAAGAGAGACAAAATGTTTACAATTTGGTTGCTAATAAAATCCTAAGCTAACTCATTTCGATTTGTATGTGTGTTTGTCCTGCGCTAATCGCAAACTTTCTGTTGTGATTCATAACAACATTTACGTTGACCTTGTCAACGATTCTAAATCCATTTATTGCGCTTTCAATGTAACTGCAATGATTAATCGTTTCATTTTCAAATCATCAAATGAGCTCAGAGATTTTCGATGCGATATAAATGGATTTGTGAGTAGTAGAAGAAAGAAAGTAATTTGCGTTCAATGCAAATGGAAGATTTCAGATCAAACAGTTGTTCGGTCATTATTTCGACGAACAACAGCAGCAACAACACCATTTTTCCCAAGTATATTTACAATTTTGACCACTTTTCCCGTTCGTGTTCGCTTCAAAAATAAAAACACGTTCAATTGTATAGCATAAACTGCATGTGACTTGTTTACGCGCTTTCATCAACGATCGATCGATCTATAAATAAGTAATGACATTATAGTGACCTGAATCATTCTTTGAAACAACAAAAATTATGGGAATCCTTACTTTCACGTCTAATTCCATTCTAATCAAGTGTTAATGACATGTGTGAACCGATTGTGTGATGGGATTCAAAAAAAAAGGTTTATTTGTTCTTGTTTATGACATTGACTAATGACTTCCCGATACACTCAATTGGTCGATAATGAAATAGTTTGTTTTTACACATTGATAAATATTCGTCCATGGTTTGATCGGGTGATTGGTATGCGCACACACACACATACCATAATGAATATAACTACTTTCAATCGGTCGCATTATTTGCGTGTATTTTTTTTAATCATTTGTCGAATCAATTTTATGTCCAGTGATAGTGTCATCGAAGAAGAGTGTGGCTCCTTTTAATTGTCACAGCTCCCAATTGGATGTGTATGTTGGCCTTGGAAACAACGAAGTCTATTTACGGCATTCCATGTTGTCCACGTGTCCTGTCGATCGAGTCTGATTTGGATTCGATTCCATCTAATGATGATTAAAATACGGTTTTCTTCGCATGTTTATCAACTGGACACTCAACCTTGAACCATCTGTCGTTCATTTCTTTTTTTTGTGTGTGTGTGTGTGGAAAATGTAAACGGAATGCGCCAAACAAAAAACACCAAATCATTCTAACTAATAGACAACGACGCCCTTGAGTCGAAGTAAAAATTCTTTGTGAAGTTCTGTAATTAGGATTGCATTGATCGAATCTCGATCTTATGAATATTGTATGATTTATGGAAATTACTCCAAATGGAAAAATCCACTCTCGCTCGCAAGCGCTCACCATATTTTTCTATTTAATGAAAATTAATCAAATTCTTGTTGGATGTTTCACACACTCAGGCGCGCGCAACAATATGCTCCTATTTTTATACATTAAGGTAAAAAAAAAACCTTAGTTCATTTGACATGGCTAGAGGAATTGGAATCTCCTCTTGGTCGTGTTTATTTGTGCTTTTTTTATTGTTTTGTTTCACCCGTTGTCACGCTACTGATCATAAGCTGTTTTAAGCATAGAGATCGCGCGAAGTAACCTCTGGATGGATGCCAACATTAGCAAGAATGAGAAAAAATGTAGTAAATTCCATTTATTTAAATGTGTTGCGTAATCAATTACGTAACTCAATACTTTGTAAGCTCGAAGCGATGATGAGCACCAAGCACTTATGTTTTTTTCTAAGTATATACAACACGTATAGAATAGCTAATTCTTGCCAGCGCAATGCCAAACACATACACGGAACACATTTATATTTGACGAGGCAACAAATTGCCGTTATGATCACGTGTTTTGTTTGCTCAATTCTCATTTCGTCGAAAATCCATGAAAAGGATTTTCATTGCGGCAATTAAAACAACGACACGAAAAGGTCGGCGCGTGTGCTTTGGACAGGCGAGATTTCAATTTTATTTAGAAAATAAATCAATCAATTTGTGACTTTTTCGCATTTTCCCGTTGTGAAAACAATTGACCACATTTTTGCGGTAAAAATGAAATCATGACCGTGTGTGTATTGGTACTTGTACCAGTTGCTGCTATTCATATGTTTCGCTTCTTTGATTTTTTTTTTGTGAAAGTGATTTTCTGGCGACTGAAATTGTTGGTATTCGCTTTTTTTCCTTCTGCGAAATGCGACCAAACATAGTGGAATGTAATGGAAGAAAAGCTTGATTGTTGTGCGATAAAAGCAGCTTGCACCGTACGTTTTGTACGTTGTTTCAAATGCGTTTATTGAACTCTAGCATTTTGCTCGTTGAATATGAAATGTGAGTGCTTGGTGCGCTATACGTTTGGAGCCACTCCATTGTATTTCCATTTTCCCGTAGTAATAAAATTGCAATTGCATTTAATTATTTTTCTGTTGTTGTATAGCCTATAGAGAGAGAGAGAGAGAGAGCGAGCCATGCAGTCGCAATGCATCAAAATAGGTCACCGCATTTGTTTTGCTTATGCATCGAGTTCACAAGAAAACATTTTAATATAATTGACGGGCCTCTCTTTAGCTAACAGCTTTACAGAATGCACGGCATTTTTCTTCCTATTTTTTCATCATTATTTATGCTCGTGACAAGGAGAAATTTATTAACACATGCACGACGGGAAATACGTCGTCAAGAGTTGGCTCTTTCGTATGTGCGCACCATTAAATGTCATATAAATTCACATTTTAATTATAATAATCGCTTATATCGCTTCCTCGACTTGTCATCCACCCAGTTGACATTGAATACATTTCGACAGTGAGCGTTTGTGAACTTGGATTTTTGGATTGTACTATATTTACTTTGGCGATGTCGAAATATTCGATTCACATCGAACACAAACAATGGCCAAGTTGAGTCGCTAAGTCGGTAATCGTTCGACATTGTATTAGAATATTCAGTCAATTAGCATCTGGTGCGTATTTAATTGCAAGCCATTTGGTAATAGCAAGTCGAGTCGAGTTTTGAATATACGTCCAAAAATAAAGTATGCTGTTGCTTCGACAGAGAGAGGGAGAGAGAGAGAGAGAGAGAGAGAAAAGAATCAAGGTTAATATACACATCATTCGTTCGAGTCAAGACGTCTGCATGTAATTAATATCAAAACACGTACATGAATCGACTTCATTTATTATTTTTGAAATCAAAATCATATTTCGGTGATTTGAGATTGAATAGCAACAGAACAGCAAAGCATGTCTAATCGAAATTAGAACAGACCATTCTCTCTAAGGAACACCGACTGAGAACAGATCACATCAGAATCTGGCTTTGAGATGTGCGTGAGTCCATTGAACAAAGAAGGCAAATGAGTATGTGTGTATATCGATCGCTTTGAGCATTGAATTTCAAGCAATTTTGAATTTAAGAGGCGTGCAACTTTAATCATATTCGATACTTCCATTTGACTTACGATGTGCTTGTCTCAAATTTATGAGGCTTTCAATTTGCTTCACGCCGCTTCTCCGTTCTCAATAAATAACATGTGCAGTATAGTCACTATCTCGAGATGTTAATTGAAAAATTCGAAAATAGCACATTCAATTAAAACGAAAAAAAAAAAATAAGTGATGAAACGATTCACAGTTTAACGCAAAATGCATTGAAAATGCATACGGTGTGAATTTGAAGCCGAACTTCGAGAAAGAGAGAGCGAGCAAGCGAGAGCGAACAAGATGAAAAAAAACTCGTGATTGAAAATCGGGCCGCTACATAGAAAAAGTTTGAAGTTCACATTTTATTATGAGAAAAATCGTCAAGAATATCTTTTGTCTGTATATGGGGATCGCAATCAGAAAATGCTTCAGAATGTGTGTCAGCGATATAGCAGCCGCAGCAGCAGCCAGTGAGAAATGAGTAAAACATCGAACAATGTTTTGGTATAAGAAAAAAGCAAACAACGCACATTCACTCAGAAACTGTTTTCTCTTTTCGTTTCAAACACATCGCTATAGTGAAGCGGAGTGTTTACAAAGCGCATCGTTCTACAAATTAATTCTTCAACATCATCATTATCAAGAGCATTTCTAGCCGAATTTCGTAGCGATTGATGAAAAAGGTCGATAACCGACGCAATTGATGTTCACTCAATGCTCCACTTTGTCGGTCACATTGTTACACTACTAGAACTTTTTTTATTTTACGCATCATTTCTTCTCAATGTAAAATAGTTGATATAAATCAATCAAGTCCTTGTGAAACGTACATCTCTGGCGAATTATGTCATCCAGATGATGGCAACAAAAAATCGAACTAACAATATTTGTTGTATTGAGCAACGTTTTGCTTGACTGGAAATACTTGCATTTTCATTAAAGAGATAAGGCGTGTGAGTTTTTCTCTCCTGAGTTTGCGCTATTGAATTTGTATCAAAATGGGAAACTTGAACGAATCATTTTGCAATGACGCCTTGGCGCGTTCGTTGAAAACATCGAGAAAAAAAATTTAGTGACTAATTCCACAAAACAATTGCCATATTCAAATGCAAGGTCAATTTAAATAATTTACAAGAGATTTTTGTGTTTGAACACATCCGACTTGCACGTAATTCCATACAAAAAGTAATAATAACATGTCGCTTTGTCACATTTTTTTCATCTTTTTTCGCGTTGTTTGAGCGTCAATTTGCCGTAAATGCCTTAGTTTTGTATGTCGTTAAGAAATATTACGCGTTACGTGTTTGCGAGTCAACATTGGCGGATTGACAATGTCACTCATGTGTGTAAATATTATTTATCGAAATTTTTCCTCAATAAAAGAAGACATCAATGCTGACAAAAAAGAGAAGAAGGGAATTGTGCTGATTATGGGCTTTTTTTTCGAAAATATTTTCTAGGGCTTCGAAAATCAACGATTTTACCATCGGAATCAAGCGATGCATGTTTGATCCGTGAAG